CCAATTTCTGGGCCCCCTCCCCTGCCAGCTCCCACCCCGCCCAAGTAACTCCACTCCCCTCAAGGCGTGCCCCTCCCCCAACGCCCAACGGAGCATAAACATTAATGCCCTTCCCACTCTCCCCGGGGCTCAGAGGACTTGAGCCCTGGCCTTTCTCATGGGGTTGAGACTCCTCAAGCCCCCCAGAACTGACACGGCCCCCCCCCACCTCAAGTCAAGGGCACTGGGTGGTCAGCAGTTTAATTGGGAGGCAGAGGCTGGGGTGTAGAGAGGAAGCAGAGATGGGTGAGACCTTGAGAAGGGAGAGGGTAGCATTGGCACTACCAGCCTTCCCGCGGAGCCCAGGGCCTGCTCTGTTAAATGCTGCACTGGGTGGAGAGCAGCTGTCCGGAGGGGCCAGGCCAGGCTCCCCTTCATCTGCCCCAAGGGGCACTGACGTTCTTGCTGGAACTCTCCCTGGTTTGATCTCCTTCCTGGGAAACTCTCTGTGTCCCTCTCTTTCATCTCTGGCCCACGTGTCCTGTAGGATCAATAGTGAGGAGGGCACAGGGCTGGGGCAATGTCTCCATCTGCGGTGCATAAGGTCGCTATGGGTCAGAACCCACTGGATGGTACCCAATGGCAAGAATACCCTCTTCTCCTTCTCCTTTGCCTCCCTGTATCTCAGTCTCTGTCCTCTACCTTTCCTCCCTCACTGCTGGGTCTGAGGTCTGCTCTCTCTCTCTCTGCCCCTTCAGATCCCTGGCCCTCCCCTAGGAGGGGGCCTGGGGCTTCTGCTGGGCAGCTTGTGGGCCTGGGAAGGGAGCCTTTGAACCCCCTGGAGTGGCAAGGGACTGAGGGAGTGAGTGCTCAGTGGGCAGCGGGAGCTGAGGGTGGGCAAGAGGATCGTGAGGAGCAGGGACTGAGCGTGATGAAAGTGGGAAGGTAAAGCAGCCAGGCCTTGGTGACTGATTTGGGGTGTGATGAAAGAGAGAGAGAGAGAAAGGGAGAGGGTGAGACAGAGAGAAACCCAGACTCCGAGAACAGAAAGCAGGGGTCCAAGTGAGCCAGAGAGAGAATGGGGCACACTGGAGGCTCAGAGCGGGAGGGGAACATACCCAGGCACCAGCAGTGCCAGGATTTCAATCTGCTCCCCATGACTCCATGCTGAACCAGTGCTCAGCTCTGTCTACCTCCAGCCAGGGGCTCCATCCACACTCACCTCCCAAATCCTAACCCAGTGCAGGCAGGCAGAATGCCTGGTTCAATTTCATCTGAAATCCAGGTGGGTCTTTTATTTGGGGGGAGCGGGGCAGTCACTGACACGGGAGCAAGCTCTGGGGAACTGGCTGATACCTCTAGATGACAACACCCAACTCCCCGCCCCCGCCCCCCATCTGCATCAGCAAGAAACCTGGAACAGTCTTTACTGACGTGTGCTGCCTTGCCTCACCTCGAGGGCATTGTCTTTTCGTGGTTTTTGTCCAAGGGCTTTTGTGAGACAGATATTCAAGGGATGGGGACAGAGAAGTGACCCAGAGATGGGAGACCGCTGTGCTCCTTGCCCTCAGAAAAGGCTGCCCCAGACCCTCAGAAGTGACGGACAGGCCAGACACCCAATTAATTCCCTTTCTAGGGAGCTAGCCTTTGGCTTCCCTGCACACACGTGGCCCATGTACTCAGGGACCTCAGGGTCCGGAGCAGAAGATGTTGAAGGCCGGCGTAGTGTGGGGAATGAACTCCCGTGCAGGAGCCCATGGCTGGAGATGCTTGAGCACGTGGCTGGAGATGCTTGAGCACGTGGCTGGAGATGCTTGAGCACGTGGCTGGAGATGCTTGGATGCTCCAGAAGGGCTCCTGAGAAGCCAGCGACCTTGCTTGTCTCTGGGAGAGAGAATGGGGCCTGGGGAGAAGGAGCCTTATTTGCCTGGTCTGAGGGGGCTTCAAAACATTCCTGGGTGGCCACAATTGCATAGCAATTATGAGACGGATGTGGATCTGGGCTGTGTTGGGTCAGAACTTACTCCACTGCACCCACCAACAGTCTCAGAGGCCGCTGAAGCTCAGATCCGTTTGATATTTATCTTCGTGTATGGTGTAATAAAAACAGATTGAATTTTGTTTTTTCATATGGTTATCTAGTTACCCTCACTCCACTTATCCAAAAAGTCTTTTGTTTTCCACGAGGATTGGGGTCTTTGTTATATAATACCATTCCTATTTGCAACGGAAACAAACAAACAAGCAAACATTCCTGGGAAAGTGGATGGACTCACGGATACAGACAGACCTCATTCTACTATCCTCCGCTTTCTTGCATTACGCAGGTACTGCATTGTAGTGTAATGTTGGGGGAGCCAGCCCCCCACTACTACCCTCGGGTTCAGGAAGCACAATTGTACGGTTGAGATATATAAGTATTATATTAAAGTCACCGAGAGCATGAGAGATATTACAATAATGCAGTCAGACACATTACATGGTAGCATGCTCACCTCAGCCCATCTTGGTGGTCCACGTGGAGATAGGGGGAAGGGAAGGAGGACAGGGAAGGGAACAAGGGAGGGGGGGGGCGAGGAGGAGGAGCCCAGGGAGAGCTGGAGGAGAGAGACCTCTATCGCTAACCCAGGCCTATATACCTTTTGGGGGTGTGCAAGCCCACTAATTACAGGTAAAGGCATACGTCACAGGAAGGGGTTGCACTATAGGTTATACAGCAATGAGAGGGGGTGATCTAGGGACATACACGCAATAGGCAATAGGAAGAGGAGAGATTGGGGTATACATGTGACCAGATGGGCGGATCCTAGATTTAGGATGGCAGTTTAACTTTGGATGTCAGAGCGGGTTTGACTTGTTCCTGCTCAATTGATAGAGACCATTATCAGTAGGATGTGAACTCCTACGAGAACCAAGCTAATGGTCGCAAGCTTCCGAGAGCAGTAACCATTGTCCCCAGTGGCAGGGAGCAGGCCCACCCCTGTGGTGGGGCCAGACAGCAGTCTGACCTCCCCCCACACTGCATTTATTGACGGATGGAAGGTTTGGGGTATCCCCGTGGGGAGCAAGTCTAACCGTAGCATTTTCCCAGGGGCCTGGGCTCCCTTCATGTTTCTGTGTCACATTTTGGTCGTTCTCACAATAGCGCACACTTTTTCATAATGCTATGGCACACTTCAGAGACTACGGGCTAGCGCCAACATAAGTTGCATACTCACTGGGGAACATACAAAGAGACAAAGACCCACGTACCTCACTCGAGTCTGATGTCCGCTTTACTGTAATGGTCTGGAATTGGGGGTGGTGGGGGTGGTGGGGAGGAAGACCCTCAATGAGATGGGTTGATGCCGTGACTGCGACCTTGGGCCCAGGCACGGGAACCATTGTGAGGATGGCGCAGGACCAGGCGGTGTTTCCTTCTGCTGTGCATCAGGTCCCTGTGAGTCAGCACTGATTGGACGGTGCCTTGAAGCAACAATGGTGGCTTGCCCGTGTGGTGGGTTTGGGGACGTGGGCTTAGGTGGCCCTGGGTGGTGAAAATGATGAACACATCGGACAGCTAACTGCGAAGGCGGTGGATTGAATCCACCCCACGGTACCGCAGAAGAAAGGCTTGGCCGTCTGTTTCCCAAACAAAACCAAACCAGAAACGGCCTTTGAGAACCTGTGGAGCACAGCCCGTGTCCGGTCTGTGGGTCAGCCCCACAGCTATGGATTGGGCTGGGGATTGTAAAGTTTTGCTTCTAGAAACACAACAGAGGTAGAAGGAGAAGGGAAAACAAAACTAGGAGAGCGTGAGAGTAGGAGCCCAGGTGGCATCGTGGTTACACGTTGGGTTATGATCCGAAAGGTCACCGGTTTGAAACTCTTTAGGAGAATAGCCTCGTTCTACTCCCATAAGCAATTGCGTTGTGGAACCCCACAGGGGCGGTTCCACCCGCGTCCTGTAGGGGCTGTGAGCTGGAACGGGCTCCCGGGCAGTGAGAGTGAATGAGAACAGTGCCACCGGCATTGTTGGCAGGCCGGTTTGGGTGGAGAAGATATTAAGGGGGAGCGTCAGGATACAGGGATATTGCACATGAAAGTCCGCTTCTTGTGGGAAAAGTCAGCGAGGATCGGCGTGGGACTGCCTGTGATAGGCAGACTTGCCCGCATGCAGCCTGCACATAGCTTGAGTTACCCTGTCACCAGCGGAGATCCAATGAGCTCTCCCAGCCTTCCACCCCAGATGGAATTGCCCCCGGGCCTTATTGAAGTCGGCTTTCTGGACTGTTCTGCCCCTTACCCAGCCCCTCTTTGAGACTTGAACCCCAGGCTCTGGGAGTGTTTGGTAGAAAGGCAAGCAGAGCTGAACAAGGTAACTTGGGCTCACTGCCCCTGGACTCTACTCCTCTCTTTGGCATTCCCGGAGGACTTTCTGTGGGAGGCCTCTCCTGCCACCTGTCCCAACTCTTTCTTTGAATCTTGTTCAATTGCGGTTGGAGGCACAGCTAGGGAAGGGAGCTCTGGGGGATTTGATGGGGATGGGGGTGGGTGGGGCAGGGGAGGGTAGAGGATGGCTCCCAGAATCCATATCTCCTTTCACCCCAGCTCTGTATGTGCTAGGCTGTCTGATGGCTTCTTTCTCTCTCTCTCCCTCATCCCTGCCTCCTTTCTCTCCTCCTCTCCTTGTCTCTCTGCCTCTGTTTCTGTTTGGGCTTCTGTTTTGTATTGGCGTCTCTCTCTGTCGCCACTGTCTCTTCTCTGTCTTACCTTATTCACTGTCTCATTTTATGAGCTCTCTCGCCCTCTCTTTTCTCCTGGAGTCTCTCTCTTCCGTGTCTCTTGTTCTCTCTCTCTCTCTCTCTCTCTCTCTCTCTCTCTCTCTCTCTCTGCCTTTCTCCTCCTTGCCCCTCTTTCTGTCTTCTCTCTGCCTCCTTCATTATGCCTCTGTTTCCGTGTGCTTCTCTGTCTGTCTGCATCTCTGTCTCTCTCTACTCTGTCCTCCACCTCCCGTCCCTGCCCCTTCCTATCTCTGTCTCTCTCCACAGTCAAAAAAGCCAAGTTTGATGGTGCCCAAGGTAAGTGCTTTCTCTTGCTTTCCTGTCCTGTGATGTCTGTCTGTCTATCTGCCTGTCTCTTGGAGAAACTGGGGAGGGAGTCTGAGCCAGTGATGTGGGCGTGGGTGGGGGGAGGACTTGGGTTTTATACTTGCTGGGGACCAGGAGGGTGTTTGAAAGGCTACACCGTGGGGGAGAGGACAGACTGGGGCTGAGTTCCCTCCCCTCCAAACACAGCACACACACCATAGGAGCACATGGAAGCTCCTTCACCCTCCCCTCAGTAGGCCCTTCCCTTCCCAGGATCCTGAGAGGCAGGGCAGGTGCCCTTCCACTGTGGCCCCAGATGGGAGGAGTGAGGCCCCGATGGGTTTATATGTTCCCTCTTCTGAACCCTGCATTTCCAACTGAGAACTAAGACCATTGGCAGGATTGCGTAGCTTACCATCCCACATTCCGCACTGGACCCCTACCTTCTGCTCAGGGGCTGGGGGGTTAGCATTCTCAGAGATGGCCTCGGGGGCAGAGGTGGGCACAGAGCCTGGAACATGCCAAGCCCATGAAGTAGTCAGGGACCTGATGGGGCCTGGCAGGGTGGGGTTGAGCGTGGGAAGGGACACTGAGAATCCTGAGCCCCACATGTCTCTGATCCTGCTCTCACCACCACAGAGAAGTTCAACACATACGTGACCTTGAAGGTGCAGAATGTCAAGAGCACCACCATCGCGGTCAGGGGCAGCCAGCCCAGCTGGGAGCAGGACTTCATGTTGTGAGTTCTGCAGGCCCGGATCCTCGGGGCCTCCCCTCACCTACCCAAACCAACCGCTTCCCCCAGCTCCACAGCCACCAGCCAAGTCCCTGTTGCCTCCTCCAGCCGCCTCCCTGTGCCAACCACCTCTCGCAATCTGCTCCCCGCCAGGCAGCCAGGGGGATATTTTTAAAACTGCAAATCACATCCTGTCACTCCCAGCTTCCAAACTTGCCTGTGGACCTTGGAGTCAAGCCCGCCCTCCTGGCCCCACCCCTGTGAGCTCTGTCCTGCCAGCATCTCCCCAGGCAGCTCCCTGGCTCCCTGGCACAGACCCCACCAACTTGGCAGCACCCTCCAATGCTGTTCTGGGGCCTTTACACATGCTCTCTTCTCCCCAGCTGGCTCCTTGTTTTGGGGTCTCCGCTTGGGACATCTCCTCTGGGAAGCCCTCCCAGAGCACCACTCTCTCATGGCTTCAGAGCCTCACCACCATTTAGTGTTTAATCAGTTGGTGTGATTTACCGACATGCATTTTTGTGCTCTATGCATGCCCCTGGGCTCTTCAGTTCCCTGGTGGGGACAGGTTTGCCTCAGCCCCAGCTGTGACTCCGTTCCCAAGCACAGGGCCTGGCACATAGGAGCCAGGAGTCAATATGTGTGCCTGAATCAGCACTGGGTTCGTCTGAGTGAGGGTTGGCCTAATCATTGACTGAATTCATGTCCTGGACTCTTGCCCCAGCCTGGAGTCCCTCCCCCCAGGATCTCAGAATCCCCCTACTTGCCAAACAGCCGCCTACCCCATCTCTGACTTTCACACATTGAATCAGTTCTGCCCACAGCCCTGCCAGGTTGTGAGTCTCATCACCCCCCTGCCACAGAGGAGGAAACAGAGGCTCTGAGAGGCACAGCCACTGGCTCAACATTACATGGCCTTTAAGTGGTATGGTTGCTCCCTGAACTCAGCCTGGCTGGGAGTGGTCCGAGGGCAGGGGGAGGGGCTACAGCAGATTGAAGTCCTGGTGTAGAGAGACCTCCCTAAAAGGAAGGAGTGGGGCCCTCGCTTCCAGAGGGCTGTGAAGGGGAGGCCAGTATGGTCCCAGCTCACTGAGAGATGGTCCCTGACTTGCCGGGTCCTGGCCCACTCATGTGTCTGGAGCTAATAGCCCCCAGGATACATCTTTGATACATGGATTCAGTCAGTGGATTAGACATTCACCAAGACTTTGCCTCCAAAATTGGGAGATTGCTGGGGTGGGTCCTGTAAGGGAAGTGCTTGTGTGAGGGGCTACCCCTGTGATTGGAGGGAGAAGATACCAGGAAGGAGAGAGGCTCCCTGAATGCTTTCGCCCAGGGGTAACATGGGAGCCATGGAGACTGTGCATGTCAGCCTCTCGCTTGCTAACCCAGCGTCGTCAGGGCTCAGCACACCAGGAAGGGCCAGGTGAGCTGGGAGTTCGGGAACCCCGTGCCTTCCTGGTTCTGCTGTGAGCCACTGAGCTACTCACTGCCCCCCACCCCCTGCCTTAGTTTCCCCTCTGTGAAATAAGGACAGCTGTGTGAGCTTGGTTCGTCCCCCGAGCTTGGCCAGGGGAGAGTTGATGCTGTGTGCTGTGTGTCCTAACTCCGGTGAACTGACCTCTCTGAGTCTCCAGCCCTCACTGGTTTTGCTTGGTGCTCCTCCCCTCTCGCCACAGTGAGATTAACCGCTTGGACTTGGGGCTGACTGTGGAGGTGTGGAACAAGGGGCTCATCTGGGACACGATGGTGGGCACCGTGTGGATCCCACTGCGGACCATCCGCCAGTCCAACGAGGTGAGCGCTGCTCGGGAATTCAGGGGAGGGGGACCCGGGGGCCCCACAAAATGAGTGCTTCTCACATCTCATAAGGACCTCCCCACAGACGGCTGGAGCTGCCAGGGGGGCTCTAAAGTCCCCAGGGCCTAGGCCCCTTCCATCGTGTTGTTCTGCTTTTCCCTCAGGCACAAGGTGACTGCAGGAGACTCACCATTGCATTGGCACTCCAGCCAGAGGAGGGCAAAATGGGGGTGGGGGTTGGGGGGGGGGCGAGCCTCACTCTCCTATTTAAGCTGCACCTTTGCATTCCATCCACTAGACTTAACCATGTGGTCAAGGAGCCCCGATGACACTGTCACTGAAAAAGCGTTGAATTACTAACCACAGGGTCGGTGGTTCAAACCCACCAGTTGCTCCACAGGACCTAGAGGAGGCTTTTCTGCTCCTGTAAAGATGGACCGCTGTGGAAACCCGACAGAGGGGTTGCTATGAGTTAGAATCCACTCAGTAACAGTGGGTTTGGTTTTTTTGGTAGCCATGTGGCCACACCTAGTTGCAAGGGGGTCTGGGAGATGGAGTCTTAAGCTGTGTCCCCATCACCCAGCTAGAAATGCACTACGGTGGACGAAGAGAAGGGGACTGGCCGAGAAGGAGCATTTTGAGAGTCAGGTGGGCTTGACAGATGGTTATGCCATCCCTGAGGGAAAAGGTGCCTCCCTTGGCAGTGGCCAGGTCTCTTAATCTCCTCCTTCTCCTGCTGTGCAGCCCCTTCTCTGGCTTGCCTCCTGGCCTTCCGTCAGCTACCTCTGCAGCCCACCCCTCCCTGAGGCATGCCCCAGCAGGACCTTACTCCCCAGGGGCTTCCCTGCAGAAAGAAACAGCAACGTCTGACCCCCTCCACTCTCAGTCCCAAGGCTGGTCTTGGGGAGGCCTCCCTCCATGCTTGCTCTTGCCCCGACTTCTGCTGTCCTCCTTTCCATCACCCCTAGGTCCCTGATCTGGTGTCCCCCTGTTCCAGGAAGCCCTCTCTAATACCCCCAGGCCCCCAGCACCCACCTCCCTCTGGCTCAATGCTATCCCCCAAGGGATTGGTGATGTCTATGTCTCTTGGGGACCTTGACAACCCAGCACAGGCCAGGCAGCGGAGACATCAGGCAAGGGTTATCACTGAATGAATGAATGAATGAATGAATGAATGAACAGAGAGGGAAGAAATGGGTGCAGTAGTGGAGAAAAGTGAGGCCCAAAAGATGCTTTCATGGAGACCCCAAGTTTCCTCAGTGTCTCCCAGGTGGAAGGAAAGCTTCCATGGAGGAGATTCTAAACCTGCCCCCTGCACACCCCCCAGCCCCCCAGTCTCTTCCCCGCGCTTCAGAAAGCAGATTTCATAGATTATTCTCATTTAAGAGATTAAGACACTGAAGTCAGAGGACCCCTTTACTCAGAGGCTCCCGTGTCTAAACCAGGGGCACTGGTCCTCATGAAGCTGTTGGCTCATTCGCTTGGGGTGTTTCTGGGGGTGGCTGGTAGATCAAGGCTTTTATCTGACGTCGGGGGTGGGAACAGGTGACGAGGCCTGGCCCCACGGGGCTCTCTCTGCAGGTGTTCACACCCACCAGGTAGTCCTTGAATGTGGACCTCTCCTCTCTGAGCCTCCAATTACCTTCTCTGTAAAGCGGAGGGGCCACTGTTGCTCTCGGGGTCGGTGAGATGGGGTGAGGCGGATGCTTCATATGAGAGGAGGGAGCCCACCAGCTAGGGCCCTGACCCTGCCTCCACACTCCCCCCACACCCACCCAGGAGGGGCCTGGAGAGTGGCTGACCCTGGACTCCCAGGTCATCATGGCGGACAATGAGATCTGTGGTACCAAAGACCCCACCTTCCACCGGATTCTCCTCGACACCCGCTTCGAGCTGCCTTTAGGTGAGCATGGGGTCTGCCCCCAGCCCACCGGGCTCCCGGGCTTGCCCTGAGGGGCCTGGGGTTTGGCTGGACTGGGGTAGAAGGGGCAGTCTTTACTCTGATGACCAGGGGCCCACTCCCCAGAGGGGCCTCTTCTGGTTTGCAAGCAACGTGGTCCAGCCCTGCCTGTGCTGGAGGGACCAGTGTGGGGCCACCAGGCTCGGGTCTGAGCTGCGCTGGTGCCTGGTGAGGCCTTCGACTCTATGGGTGGGCTGCAGAGACAGAGAAGCCGGGACAGAGAGAAACAGAGACGGAGGTGGATCAAGACTGAAAGAAACGCAGACAGTACAGAGACCCAGAGAGAACGAGAAACAGAGAAATAGGAAGACAGAGAAAAACAGAGGCAGAA